CAATTAAAAAAAATAATAGTCTTCAGTCAAACCACAATAAAACATTCTAAAGTAAATCAGAAAAATCAATGAGTAAGAGAGTAACTGCTTTTCAGAGGAAATCTGCACTATGGAGAGAACCTTTTGAAAACAGTGACATTTGGGAAGGTGTGCACTGTTATATTTTATTGCTGAAAGCAATGTTTATTAAAAACATTAAAAAATTTTAAATAGGGGCAAAATTCAGGGTTCTAATGTATGGCATACATAGACTATCAAACATCACAAAAACAGACAGACAATACAGAACAAGACAGATGACTGGGACATACTAAACATTAGAAATTGACGCACATCCAAAGATTTTACCAAAAGAGTAAAAAGGGAGCCCAGAGAACAGGAAAAAATGTTACGCAACAACATTATCAGACAAGGGACTAATCTCTAAAGTGCATAGGAAACTACAACACCTCTATAAGAAAAAGGCAAATAATCCAATTAAAAAATGGACACAGAACATGAATTGATACTTCACTAAGGAAGACATTCAGGAAGCAAACAAACACATGAAGAAATATTCATGATCATCAGTCATATTAGAAATGCAAATCAAGACAACAATAAGATATCATCTCACGCCAAAGTACACTGAAGATCAAAAAGCAGAGGCCACCAAACGCTGGCAAAACTGGGACCCTCCTACATTGCTGGTGGGACTGCAAATTGGTTCAACCACTCTGGAAAATGGCATGATGCTTCCTCAGAAAGGTGAACATAGAAATAGCTTAGGATCCAGCAACTCCTCTACTTGGTATATATCCACAATAACTACGAGTCAGCGCAGCTGAGCAAAACACTGGAGACAACCCAAGTGCCCATCAACGGAAGAATGGAGAAGACAAACTCTGGTACTTACACACAGTGGAATACTATGCTACCTTAAAGAATAACAATGAAGCTGCAAAACACCTCATAACATGGATGAACCGTGAGGCCATAAGGCTGAGTGAAACCAGTCAGGCACAAAGGACAAATATTGCATAAGATTATTATTGTAAAAACGTATGAGAAGATTTCCACATTAAAAGAATAATTCTTTGAGGGCTCCGAGGGGTGGGAGGGAAGGGACAGTAACACACGGGTTAGGGGATGGATGTTTGATGACTTGGGAACACGGAAGGCACTATATAGGATGGGGAGGACAACGCACAAGAAGGGGTGGGGGTAGGGAAATGGAGTCTAGGGAAAGACCCTGGAGAGTATACATGGCTAAATGGGATAGAGATAGACTATGATACATGCACAGCCTTGGAATAACAAGGTTCTGTGATACCGGGAATGAATAACAGGCTGAATGGGTAAAGGGGAGGAAATAACATTAAGGTGCCTGACTGTTTTGTGGATATTGGGTTCCCCTGACTACTAGTGCAATGCAGACATTTAAGTGGGATAGAAAGGATAATTGGGAAAGATGATTACAGAAAGCTTGTAAGCCCATCTTCAGCCCATAACAGATTAGATTATTTAAAAGGAGTCTACAATGTAACCTGGA